GAGGGAGAGGGAGAGGGAGAGAGAGAGAGAGGGAGAGGGAGAGGGAGAGGGAGGGAGAGAGACAGACAGACAGACAGACAGACAGACAGACTGACTGACTGACTGACTGACTGACTGACTGAGATCTCAAGCATCGAAATATATTGCATGGCTATGGATTTTCGGTTCATCATTGCCAAGATATATGCCATAATAGAAAATTCAGTCGGAGGGCCTTTTTTTTGCATGAATTATGGATCTGCACTATGCAGCTGTAATTTCAGTTGCTCAATAGGATTTAAAAATGCTCTGTTGGGAGTACCTGCCAATTCTTTGAAGGGCTGACCCAAGAAATGTTGCTGCCTGAGACACATAACATGATGGTGTTGCCTCCCATTCCACAGACAGAAGCCAGTGAGATGAGTATTTCTGCAATAAAGGCAGCACTGAAGCCAGCAGGTTCATTTAAGGGAGAAGAGGGCAGACTGTGTGGGCCACAATACTCTTCATCAGCACCTTACAGCTGCCTCTCAATATGGGGCTCCTCAGGAAGCTCCTAATGGTGGGCAGGCCCTGCTTCCTTGAATCATTAAAGAAACCCTTGCTGATATTCTTCAATACTAGCCTTGTTAGCTTAACCATATGACTGGCTTCCTCATTCATCAATAGAGAAATTAAACTCCAAGTAGATTTCTAAAAGAAGCCGGTCATTTAGTCCCTTTTAGGATTTTATCTATTCCGCAGCTGATGCTTTCACAGAAAATATGAACTGGTGACTTTTGCTGAACCTAACAGTTTACTGACAAACGAGAACTGAAGGCTATCATTGTAATTGGGTTTCTTGTTACCAAAATGAAAACATGGCCACTGCATGCCCATTAATGTATAATCACACTCAGCCGTACAACAACTGCTCTGAAATGAACTTGTGCAGCTTTATTAAATAGGATCATTCTAGTTCAAATGGAAGTATTATATCAAAAATCTCTTGTGATGGAGGTGGGAAGGGGAGTTGTTTGAAGGAAAGAACCAAAAGAGAAAATCCCCAAATAACAGTCTTCATTTGCTATACAGTGGTGCCTCGCTTGACGAGGATAATTTGTTCCGTTCAAATCACTGAAATTAAAAATCCATTGAAATGCATTGAAAACCGGTTCAATGCATTCCAATGGGCAAAATACCTGCTCGTTTTGCGAAGATCCTCCATAGGGTGGCCATTTTCTGGTGACTGTAAAGCGAGGAATCTGTCCTAAAGCACAGCGGGGAGCCTTTTTGCACAGCGGATGGCCATTTTAAAATCACTGTCTAGCAAAAAATCATCATCTAGCGAAAAATCGTCTAGCGATCATCGTTAAGTGATTTTCCCCATAGGAACATCGTTTTGCGATCGCAAAAACTTCATCATAAAGCAGTTTCATCAGTTAATGAGGTAATCATTAAGCAAGGCACCACTGTAGTTACATTATATCATAGTTATAGGCTGTCATACATTCTTAGCTAGAAGTTGAAAAAAAACAGCAAAAAAACCCCACAAAAAGCAAGCATCTTGTGTATGGACAAACAGCCCATGGATGGTGGGATTTGGGGGATCAGGCAGGATTGTTAACACAACAAGGTGTCATTATTCTCTACAATAGGGACTTTAATTCTCTAGCAGTATATGAGTTGGTTTCCTAGCTGTGAAGAGGCCCAGAGAAGATTCAGCTCTGTTCTGCAGTTCTGGGTTTTGGAAAGCTCACCTCAGCACATATGGAGTGATGCTTCATTGGGAATGGAAAGAGGATTTGTACCACTTCTGGCCCAGCTGATTGCGGAAACGACGACAAGGAAAATGCAGGGAAATGGGCCTCAAACATTAATAAAGCCTGGCTGATCAGATGATATGGCAGCCCAGGACCACATCACAAATAACAGACAAAATGAAAGGAAATGAAACAAAACATCTTGTGCCACTGCTGCTATGGCCTATGTAACAAGAAGGCTCACAAGCCGCAATGCAGGTGCTCCACTCCCTGCCTTGGTCCAAAATGTGGAGTGAGTCTTAGTGCAGATGCTATAGACTATTTGATTTAACCCTGTGGACGGGGACTGTGCTCAGATTTCATTTTGAGAGAGAGAAAGAAATAAAAATAGAGAAGAAATGAGTTTCTATTCAATTGGGAGCAGGAATTAAGCCTTATCACCTGGATTAGATAACAGAATGCCAATAAATGTGTGAAGAAGGGATTATAGAAGAGAATATTCCTTGTGTTGGTACTGTGTATTTGCACCTAGCTTTGCACTTAATTTAGAATTTTAAGGGTCTCCTCTTCCTCCCAGAGCTATATACTCTCTCTCTCTATATGCACCTAGATCATAAAAGCAGAAAGAGTGAACATGTCTTGCTTCTTGCTGGGGTTTTCTGGAACCAACTCCTGCTCTGTCATCTTCATGGTGCATGGAAATCGGGAGGCCTATATTTATTTGGCATCTAGCTCAGGCTGTGTATATATTATTATTTTCATTGCCGAATTCAAAGTTTCAAATCTTTGCAAAGTTAATGGTGTCCCTCAAAAAGAAGAGAGCCTCACACAGTCAAAAGAGTGGGATGCATGTCGCTACCATCTCTCTCCTTACTCTCTTCCCTTCACATCTGGCTTTTTCGTGTGTTACCACTGAGCAAGTGCAAGGCACAAAGCCACTCTTGTCCACTGAGCCAGTGAGCCCCAACGCCTTCCAGGGATGGGTGGAGATGAGTGTCCCAGCATTGGAGCAACTTCACCCAGAAAATGGACTTTCTCTCCTTCCAGAGTAAGAGGTAGCTCTGCATTCTCACCTTGAGACCCAAGGAAACACAGCACAAGACCTAGGCTAGCTCCAGTGTGAAGGCAAGAGGAGAAGGCGACAAGATGGTTGGACAGTGTCACTGAAGCGACCAACACGAATTTGACCCAACTCCGGGAGGCAGTGGAAAACAGGAGGGCCTGCCATGCTCTGGTCCATGGGGTCACAAAGAGTCAGACATGACTTAACAACTAAACAACAACAACAACAATGTCCTTGCATCTGATATTCGTGGCAATGGAAATACAGTGCCCATAACTGCTAGACATCAGGAAACCAACTCTTCTCTATGGCTGTTATTTGTATTATTGCATACGATCCACAGAAATGACAGCTCCCTGCTTCCCAACTCACAACAAGTCACAATGTCAACATTGCAACTCTTCCAGCCTTTTAAGCACCACAGTAAACATAACAAATCTCTATTCGCCCCGGTCTTTTACTGAACCAGGTCAGGCTTCTGGAAGACTGAATCCATTTCTAAGGCTCATTTGCAATTTTGTATAATGGAATCAAAGCCTTCTGAGCTCATTAAAACCCGGCTATGAATCTGAAACAGCAGCCATGGCAGAGGGACGTCCGCAACTCCAGCCCACTGAGAAATACATTTCCTCTTTTTGACTGCCTCCACGTCTGTCCCTAGAGAGAAGGTGAAATAAATTTTGTGATAGTCGTTAGCATTTACAGCCGGGTTTTTAGATCACTTGGTAGCAGAAGGGAAGATGTGAGCAATATATAATCCCCTCAGAGATAAATTAAGCCAAGTGCTAAGATGTGTCCTGACCTTTTTTCCATGCCTCATTGTCAATGCAACACTTCATGTCAGGGCATATATAATTTAAATGATTTTTCCTCCTTTGGGATTGGAGTGAAAGACTTGAATGTAATGATTCTTGTCCACTGGACTAGCACATTGTGTGTGTTTTTTCTTCTATCTGGGAAAAAAAATGGAAACGGCACAATCGCTAAACTTCTTGAATTGGGTTATATGGGCTTTAAAGTAACAGGTAGTCCTGCACTTCCGCTCTTCATGAATTTGAGCAAATCTCTCTCCCATCCAGACCCACATCATTAATGTGTTTTTCCACCATGCAAAATCTTGGGAGTTGAGTGCCTAGCCTGGCAGCTTACCTTTTTATCCTCGTTTCATACTCTAGCTTTTGTTTTGCCATTTCCTGCTTTAAGCTTGACACGAGGCTGTGCAAAGCACTGTGGTTGCTTGTGTTGTTGACAACAAACGTCTCACTGTTGTCGCTGCTGCTGGTAGCTCGGCTGCTGCGGCCCCCCACACTTCGTCGGTCGCCTTTGTTCTCATAATCTCCTGGGTTGGAGAGGTCTTCGTGTTGGGGCTCATCTAGCACAGGGTCTTCAAAAGTGGCCCCATAAAAGTCTTGCTCAGGGCAGGTAGTAGTAGAAGAACGGCAGGAGTTGGAGTGCTCAGGGAGAGAGATTTCACAGGAGGAGGTGGACCAAGTTGCACTATCAACACTCTGCTTATCTTCAGCGTTCACCATGGAGAATTGTTGGTGAACATTGTCGTAGGTGGAGAGTCTGTTGTGTTGCCCTGAGTCACTCATGGACTCCTTCGGCTTGTTGTCCCTCAATGTCACATACCCGTTGGGCATCCAACTCTGGTTACGGCTGTTCAGAGAGTTGCTATGAGCATCAGCACTGGAAATACCCATTCGTACACCGCCATTCTGCACGCTATGTGTGCCCATTTTAGTTACAGGCCCTTTCAGGGAAGACGTTCTTCTAGTTTGCAAGGTACCATTCGGCAAAGCTGGCGATGTTTTCTCCTGACCTTCTACAGAACTGCTGAAGGACCCATTGGTGACTATGCCACTGCCTTTATTAAATGCGGGGTTCTTTTTCACCAAGAGGGGCGGGCTTCTGGTGATATCCAGTTTATGAATGCTGTTTCTCGGGCTGTTTGACTTGCTTCCAGGTTGGGCAGTAGGAGACCCATTGTCCACGATGGTTCTTTGAGGAGATTCAGGTTTCTCCCAAGAGCAGCGTCGCACTGGTGATAACTCCTTGGTATTGTTGTTCTCTTTGTTCTGGAGCTGACCTATTATCACTTTCTTTTGGATCTCATTGTTATTATTGCAAACCTCTTGCCCACCTTGGAGGTCTCCATCCTTTGGAAATAGTAGCTCGTGTTCACTTATCATCATGGACATCAATTGCTGGACAACAACAGTTCCTAGAAGGAAGTTATATAAATACAGACGTGTTAAATATGCAGTAGTAACTGCTGACAAATACAATTTGCATATAGTTTGCATGAGCACCTGTCTACTGTGTGTGACCCAGCATCTTCTACTGGATATGATGAAACAAAGCCAAAGGAGACCTTCTGGTTTTATATGTTATTTCATTCATTAACTTCTATTCCTTCTTATTAATCACAGCTTGGAAGTAACACATCACAAATGACAACATTATTAGTAATGTTTTTTTTTGTATAAGGCAACTTAGAATGATATTCTTAAAAAGCTGCATAACAATTTATAGTGTTTTTTATTTTATGGGTTGTTTTGTTTTGTTTTTTGTTGCTAGATTTACTTGTCACTTTGAAATGTTATTCCTGGCATTTTCATCTGATTTGGGTGATTGGGGCCATTTAATCAAATTTTTGAAACAACATCTTGAAAGGTCAGGCAAAATTAACCAAATAGTAATGTGTTACAGAATACATTGCAACCCTGTATTGGGTAATAAGCAATGCTAGGAAGTCACTTTCAAAAAAACAAAACAAAACAAAAAAACAAAAAAAAAAAACAAGCAACAGATTACATTTCAAAAGCTACCTCCCAAGATCTGCTCTTAAATAGCCCAGAAAAGCTCCATTCACCAAATCGTCATATGCAGAGCAACTACCTCTGCTTGATTGGCTCCAGACTGCAAGCTCGCCAGAAGCTGTAGTAAAACCATGAACCCATCAAACTTTCCAGTCTCCACCTCCCCACCACTGTCACAATTATTTGGTTAAGCTCTGCAGATGGCCCAATGTTCAGGAGGTTGAGCCATCATGCGAGAAGAAGCTAAAACCTACAAATCATGTTTCTAAGCCTCAGAAATGCAGAGAGAACATGGGAAGTTAAAAGAAATAAAAAGCAAGATGATGAATAACCCAATTACAATATAGGAGGTTCACTTTAATATTACTCAAGGCACAAATGGCACTTGGTCAATCTCAGACACCCAGTGCAGGAAAGGATTCATCCATTTCTATATTTTGTTTTTGCTAACTGGAAGCGTATCACCATGAGAAGGGCTGTTAAATTAATTTCATATTATAAATATTGTTAAGCTCTCCAAAAATAAGGCCAGGCAAAGTCACTGGAGTGCATCACACAGTGCAGAATATGTTTCTGTGGTTACAAATCAAAGCAAATTCCCTGAAGTTAGGAGATGATGGAACTGGAAAGGCAGTATCATAAGAATAATGGCTCTATGCTTTTCTAATGAATGCTGGGGTACACAAGCAGCAAGCCATCCCTTTTAATATACAAATCAAATCTTTAGAAGATGATGTAAATATGTGACATCTTTCCCCTTAGATCCCTCTGTAAGTGGAGCGGATGGGTGGTGGATCATAACTGAGGTGCTGTTTTACAGTGTATTTCCATGCTGTGCATGGACAAATTTGTGCCACCATTTCCCACTGGATCTGTGTCATTTTTACAATGCTTAGATTAAGGCTATAAGAAGAGACATGATAGATTAGACCCCAGGCCTGCTTGGTGCAGTATACTGTTCAGACACTAGCCAATCCGCTGTGTGCAGTTGCCCTCAAGCAGAACAGAACAATAGCAGCATCCTCATGCGGACATTGATCTACAGAGACTTATTGTCCATGCTACTGGACTACAGAGACTGTAAGGTTGTAACTCTTCTTTATATAGGAGTTGCTTCAGAACTTTGGTAATTTTGGGTGATAACACAAGTCCTGAAACTTTGCGAGATACACCCTTCCTTCTACATGAGTTACACAAGCAGTTAACTGAATTCCCAGATTTAATGGCTTTGGAAATATGTGAGCGTAAGAGTGCAGCCAAAATATGAACATCTACGAGCATGAAAGGCTCGTTTGATTTGCATACTGTCCTTCCTTCGATTAGCAAAATTAATTATTTTCTGAGGACAGATCCATAAGAGGAGAAGAAACTGAAAAGCTGTTGATCTTCATCTTTTGGATTTTAAATTAACTGGGTGCCAGTCAGTTGTTTCTGTCTACCTACATGATGAATCGTTAATCTCGGCACCTGGAGACTAATTCTTCGTTAAGTTAACCTAAGTATTCTCAACTCCAGATGAGACTAAAAAAAGTCCATCCAAGGCTGAACAAATGGTCAGCAAAGAATTGCCAGCGTAGACCCTTTCCACCCTATAAAGCCTTGAAAGAAGATGACTAAGAGTTTATCTGACCTGCTTCTGCCCTTTTACAGATCAACACTGATATGAAGGAAATCTAATGGGTTCCTCCTTGGTGAAAACATCAAAATGTTTGGTGAAAATTATAACTTGCAGTAATCGTTGGCACTTTTCCTCACTAGGAAAATTTTGGGTATCCCCATGCAAATTGCCAAATATCTCTCAGTGAATTTTTAAAGAGTTATACACAATTTTCTCCAGTTGACTAGCAGCAGGATCCAAACTTAAAGATACACCACCTGTAGTGGTTTAGGAGCAGGCAGGAGCCTCGTGTACAAGTCTCTTGTGCTGGTTGGTCTCAGATTTGCGAACATGAGATCTGCTGGCCCTACCGCTATTCTAGCTGGGATCATCTGGCAGAAGAGACCACAAGGAGTAGAGAAGAGAAAGGGGAGTGGAGGATCTGAGTTGCTCTATATTCCAACTTCCTTCAAGCCAGGAAAACAGTCACTATGCCAGCAGAAAGCTATAGCAGGGTTGGGATAATCCTTCTGAGTAATTTCCAACACCCCTATACTGGGAGTGTTTTAGAGACAGCACAGCCTCTCCTGGTTTAATAATAATATAATCTTAGAACTGCAGAGCTGAAAGGGACCCTATGGATCATTGAGTCCAGCCACTGTCAAGGACGCACAGAGGGAAACTGAACTCCCAGCCTCTACAGACAGATGCCTAAACCACTGAGCTATCCTGCAGTTCAGTGTTAGCTTAGCTGGCCATTGGCTAGTTAGGACTGCACCTGAAATTACATGGGTATGCATTTTTAAAATGCAGATACTTTCACGAGTTCTCTCTATCCCAAATATGTAATTTGCCAGTTTTCACCGATTCTTCCAAAATGAATTGAAATCAATCATTACCCCACCCGCGCTGCTCAACTTCCCTAGGTACAGCTGTCCCCAAGACGGAAAGGACTATGTAGTACTTGAATGCCATAAAGATACTGAAGATGCATAGCAGTTATCCAGCAAGCAGCAGCATCACCACTAGAGATGGGCATCAACTTTGATTTGGAGGTCCGGCCCAATCTGTTGCTGTGCTTGAACAGATGTTGTGTAGGCACAGTGCTCTCCCTTCTCCCCTGGGGAGGCAGGGAGGCAAGTGCATGTTGCCCAAGTGTAGTACTTGAATGCCATAAAGATACTGAAGATGCATAGCAGTTATCCAGCAAGCAGCAGCATCACCACTAGAGATGGGCATCAACTTTGATTTGGAGGTCCGGCCCAATCTGTTGCTGTGCTTGAACAGATGTTGTGTAGGCACAGTGCTCTCCCTTCTCCCCTGGGGAGGCAGGGAGGCAAGCACATGTTGCCCAAGGAATGGGTGAGTGTGCAGGGGAGCCGAGAAGAACACCTGTGTGAGCCCAGTGATGAACTGGGCCAGACCTGTGAATGTACAATTCTCATGCCTATCTCTAATCACGACAGATGCCACATTGCGTTGGCCAGTTCCTAGAGGTGCATGAAACATTAAAACCTAAGCTAACTGCAGTTCTCGCATTTTCATCTCAAAGCATATTTCAGCTCAGGTCTGTGCCAGACAGTTGCTTTTGTCACTTCACAGAAATGTGGGTGTGTTTCCCAAAATACATGCTACTTTTCTGTGTATCATACAACTGTGCAAATTTTGCACCCACGGATTGTGTTGTGTTTGCACACATTCTTAAAGCATACACAGTTTTGTCCAAATCCTATTTTTAAGATTGGCAAAATACTGACATCAGACCATAAATGGTGTTTGGCTCCATGTTTTGTTCTGGGAGGTATGAACTGAGTAAATCACAATCAGAAACAAATTTTTCTATAAAGCTGCCTTCAAGACACACCCCAACATAACATTCTCATAATGTCCTGCTAGATCTAACTAAATGGAAGAAATCAATCCCCATGGGGAGAGATTGAAAAAGTTACCCCTTTCCCAAGCCAAAAACCAATCCTTTAAAATCATCTGATCAGAATGGAAAGAACAGGTGGTACAGCTAAATAGATGAGAAGAGCAAAATGTTCCTAGGAACTCACTCAAATGTTGGCACTAGTGAGAAACTAGGAAGATTTGCAAGGGAGCTCATCCTGCAGACATAGAATCTTAATTTAAAATATCTCAGAATGTTTCTTATCATCACAGTTTGACATTGCTTTGGCTCCACCCTCTGGAATCCTAGGATTCATAGTTTCACATGGTACCTAGCATTTTCTGCTAGGGAGTTCTAGTGCTGTAGTTCAGGAGGTCCCTAGCAGAGAATTGTACATACTTTGTTAAACTACAACACCCAAGTTTCCATCGGATGGAAACATGAAGTGATTTCAGATTGCGGTATCTGGATAATACAGCTATTACTCATATTGAGTTCCATTAGGATGTAGGAGGAAATCCAGACACCGCTCAGGAGCTCATCATATGGTGATAAATCTAGTTCCCAAACAAACTTGAGAAACATGATATAAATTTAACTTCACATTTTATACTCTGGTTCCTAGGAGCTGGATGAGTAACTTAAGGAATGCAATACTGTATTAGAATAGTGCAGAAAGTGGAATCCTGAGATGGATGGTTGGATTTTTCTCTTCTCTTAACATGTTGTGCTATGCCAACAAGAAAGAACCATGTATGAACCAGACATGCAATGGTATCTGGAAGTGGACACAGTTTGAGATATTCATCCGGTCTTGTTGTACTTACTAAGTGCCACATACTTATCTCTAGCTGGAGGTCACATACCATTTAGTGTAACCAGGCCTGGATTAGTGCTGTATAGAATGCCATTTTTAATGTACTGCATGTACTATTTTAAGTCTCAGAGTATCTTAAACACTGAATTAAATAGATATCAGCTATAGCAATCTCCTGCTGAGCTTTGGCATTCATGTGCTGCCATGGTCCTTAGATCAACTGATTCTTTGCATTAAGGCTTGGGTTGGTGCCCCCTGCCCCCAACAAACTCACCTTCCATAATGGTCAGAGGGTCTTCCACTTTGGGACGCAGGATGTTGGGGCCAAACACAGTGGCCAGATTTTGTACACTCATCTTGTTTACTCCGGAATAGGACTGGACTTCATCCAAGAATCTGTTCAGATATCCCACAGCAGGAGGATGAGAAAAGGGGAATCCAGGATCAAGACTCAGTCAAGAGGGCGAAGTGACATGAGACATTATTCATAGAATCATGAAGTTGGAAGGAGCCTGTAAGGCCATCGAGTCCAACCCCCTGCTCAATGCAGGGGTACAAATCAAAGAGTATCTGCAAGGTGGTTGTCTAAAATTCCCTTGAATGCCTCCAGTGTTGGAACACTCACCACCTCCCAATGTAATTGGTTCCATCGCCGTACTGCTCTAATAGTCAGGAAACTTTTCCTGATAATCAACCAAAATCTGGCTTCCTGTATGGTTCCCAACTTGAGAATGCCACCTAAGTTTTTACTCTTCCTTTCTGGCATTGTTCCCATTTTATATTTGGGTAGGAAGAGATATTCCCATAAAAATATTTCTTTCTAAGCAAATTCCTTCCTTCCTTCCTTCCTTCCTTCCTTCCTTCCTTCCTTCCTTTGTTTCTTTCTTTCTCTCCTTCTTTCTTTCTTTCCTTCTTTACTTCTTTCTTTCTTTCTTTCCTTCTTTCCTTCT